CTCAGCTGAGCCTGCCCCCCGGCCTGGGGGAGCCCGCTCAGGGATAAGCGGTGGGATTACCTGTCACTTTTGCACAGCCACCCCCCGCCACTGAGCGCCGCAGCTGGCCACGGCTGGGGCCATCCTGGTGTGCTGGGCACTGAGGGGGCACTCGCGTGACACACAGGGTACCCAGCTGGCACCCGCACAGGGTGGCCGAGTACCCGCTGTGCTGGTCCCCCCTGCGGTGGGTGATGCCTGCACCGTCGCTAAGGAGCACGTGTAACTGGATCTGGGTTATTTTGGGCTGCTGTCAGGGCTGGGTGCTCAGCACCTCCCACACACGCACCAGCTGCTGCTATTTCGGAGCTGCTGGGTCCCCTCCCCTCCTCTCCTCCTCCTCCTCCTCAGGCCTGGGGTGGGTAGCTGGGGCATTTGCCTGAGGATCCTTAAAACCTGGTCAGGCTGGGGGGCCATGATCAGCAGTCTGACCCTGCAATCTCTGTCGGCCCCCCACCCTGCTCCGGGCACGGCTCGGGGGAGGTTCGCCCCACCAGTACCCTCTGCGCTGGGCTCGCATGCAGGGCTGGGAGCAGGACCCCTGGGCTCCCACCTCTTGTCCCCACCAGCATGCAGTCCCCCACGCTGGGAGAGGGGTGGGCAGCTCTGTGGCCACTCGGACCCCTCTGCGCTCTCGGTCTCTGCAGCAAAGAGCGACAATGCCTCCTGGCCCCAGTGCCCAGCTGCCCGTGCCTGTCTCCACTTGGCATGAGCCTGCCCGGCTCAGGGAGCACCTGGAGCCCTGGAAGAGCCCTGTGGCACAGGCGCAGCACCGCCAGGCCAGCAAGCAGCTGCAGGGACACCACTGGGCACGCAGCCCCGGCCACCGGGCTGACTGCCGCAGGGCTGGGCTTGCACCTTCCCAGGTGGACTTTATCCTGCAAAGCAGCTGTGCCAAAGTCTGGGCTGCGCTTGTGCAGGGTGTCCTGGAGGGGACACCCAGGGTAGCAGCAGGGGTGGCTGGCCTGGCCTGCAGCCCAAGGCACAGGGCAGCAGTGTTGCCAGGCAGGGGGAACTTTGAGCCCTGCACATTGTCCTGGGCCACGGAGCTGAGCAGCAGCTGGGCAAGGAGGAGGGGGCAG